TTCTGAAATAATTAACAAAAACAGTTTTACCTTTGATGGAGGCGAGGGCACTGGGGGGTGAAAGGGGCATTTGCGCCAAAAATCCACGTGGGAATATTATTTACTAGACAGAACATTATTTACTAAAATAAGTATTTAGGCTAAATATCAGCTAAATCAGAGATGATAGCTTTTCGGAAGTCCATCCAAAGTCAGATTCAGTTAAAAGTTGAATTAAATTAGTAGAGATGAAAGAAATAGTTTGTAGTGGAGTATATTTTATACTCCACTACAAATTTTCACTCATGAATATTTATACTATGATTGGCTTTCTAAAACCACAATGATTAAAATCATAAAATGCATCATTGCTGCCAATTTTTAATTATGACTTAAGAAAATCAGTCTTGATTTAAGATTTGTATTAGCTTAAAGGTTCTATTGAACTTGAAGATGCCTTTTTGTATTACATTTTATTTGGTCCTTATGTTTATATTCAAAATAATATTTCCATTATATTTACCTCACTACAACAGTTCATTGGTAATGTTAGCTTTCCAGAATTTGGTGATATCAAATTACTGTCTAATGAATTTCCTTTGTTCTCATAATTATAATTCTCCAGTTGCAGATCTCCACACCAGCTGAATCCTACATGACTCGGCCATTTAATGTTATCCATGTCGATAGAAAAATTAGTAACGTTGTTATTGTTATTGTTATTGTTGTTGTTGTTGTTATTATTGTTGTTAACGACCTGATTAGCAGCATGCTGTTGACCATCATGCTGAACAAGTTCGAACAAGATCGAACTATCATTCGAGTCGTTTCCAGTTTCTACTCCCGAGTCTACCGACGTCATGTTTACATTCGAATACGCAACTAATAATCGAGGAACTATTTCACATTCACATAAATCTGGAAGTTCGTCACGATATGTAAACCACGTTTAGATATAAATTGCAAATAACAAAAAGTCGTTCTTTGTTAGCTCGCACATCTACACCGTTACAATATCTCATGAACATAGAGAATTAGATAGAGTGGAACACTCCGTACTCTATGCGCTTACATTTTAGTAAATTTTCTAGTAAATCTAGAAAGTTATAGCGATTTTGAGTGAACGGACCAAGGTTGATTAATGACGTCATTGTATCGTCTCCGCCAATAAAAAACTTGAAACGATTGGTGGTTTAGTACAGTCAGAGAGAAACCTGAGAGGGGCCATGCCATTGTTTTTCGTACGACGCTTTCTCTAGGCCGTACAGTAGCGCTAACTGGATCCATTTTTTGAGCCGGCGGAACTACATGGCCAGATCCACTTTTCGCTATGGTAAAACGGCCGATTGGTGTATGTCTGTGCTAGATCCATAATTGTGGATCTGGCCATG